AGCTGCACCACACCCAGAGGCGGAGGTCCGGGGGTCGGCTGCCCCACACCCAGAGGCGGGGCTCCGGGGGTCAGCTGCTCCACACCCGGAGGCGGAGGTCCGGGGGTCAGCTGCTCCACACCCGGAGGCGGAGGTCCGGGGGTCAGCTGCTCCACACCCGGAGGCGGGGGTCCGGGGGTCAGCTGCTCCACACCCGAAGGCGGAGGTCCGGGGGTCAGCTGCTCCTCACCCGGAGGCGGAGGTCCGGAGGTCAGCTGCTCCACACCCGGAGGCGGAGGTCCGGGCCACGGCCGTCCAGGCACCAGGAGGCCGGCCCGGCCGTCTGTCCGACGCCCTGCCGGCCGCCACATACGGCGCGCCTCACAACGCCAGCTGGCAGGAGCGTATCTCGGCAGCGGGGATTCCCGACTGCGTTTTGCTGACACGTCGCACTGCGACGCCGCCGCAAGTGCCCTTACTCGCGCAGGCCTTTGGACCCGACCAGCGTGGCGAGTGCGCCACGGGGTCGGGCCCCGGTCGCTCCTACGTCAGCGGTATGTGTTTGGCCGCGCGCGATAACCGCATGGCTGGCACGGCCCGGCGTCGCAGCGCTGGCGCCAAAATGGCAAAGGTTATGGAGTTGCATGTTGTGAGTGTGCTACGAAAGGTTGTGGAGCGGTTCCGGCAGCAGACGTGGCGAGCGGTGAAGGTGACAGACGGAGTCTTGGACGAGTACCTCCTGGCTGTCGCAGCCGTCGTCGCACTAATGAGGACACGGTAGTAAACATACACATATACACACGTGCCGCACGCACGCACGCACGCACGCACGCACGCGCGCAGCACGCAGGTCCGCGGGCGGCACCGGTCCGATGCCGCCGATCGCGGCCGCCACTGGTCCGTCGCTGATCGGCAGGGCTGGGTGGCGCGCGGCTGGTCCCGCACCCGCGGCAGACCCGGCTCACAACTCTGTCTACGGCTACCGGTCGGTTGATGGGTGGTTTATGGGCACAAGCTGGCTGGCGACTGGTGGTTTAGCGGCACCAGCGGCGCTATCGACGGGTGGTTTAGCAGCATCGCTGCCTCATGCCGGACGTTGAACGCGGTCTGCACGGGTAAATGTATTTTGACGCCAATGTATTTTGGTAAATGTATTTTGTAATGTATTTTATTTTGCTTTTCCGCGGCTGTCGGGCTTTGGGATCAGGATCAGCTACCACTAGCGCGCTGTGGCTGTAGCGGTGGTCAAAACCAGCAACGCCAAGAATTGCCTGACCTGTAGGTGACATGATCTGACCTGACCTGACCTGACCTGACCTGACCTGACCTGACCTGACCTTGGCATCACGGACGTGCAGTTGTGTGATCCATAAAACGTACGATGGTGGCGTGCAGCGCTTCCTCTGCAATTCTGTTTCGTCTGTAATCGATCCCAGTCGACTCCACTGCAGTCAGACGGGCTCGGTCAGACGGGCTCGGTCAGACGGGCTCGGTCAGACGGGCTCGGTCAGGCGGGCTCGGTCAGACGAGCTCGGTCAGACGGGCTCGGTCAGACGGGCTCGGTCAGACGGGCTCGGTCAGACGGGCTCGGTCAGGCGGGCTCGGTCAGACGGGCTCGGTCAGGGGAGTGGGCTGTCAGGTTCCCGTAGACTGGTGGCTGTGCTCGTTTGCCAAGGTCAGGACGGGTTTTCGGGTGCAGACTGGTAATTGCAGCGTCCGCTCGAGGGCTAGTAGGCCTAAAGTATCTGGCAGGCTGTGAACAGTACAAATGCAGGTTCAAACTGCGTCTTCGTCGTGTATACTTCCGGGAAGAGGCGCAGGCCTTTGTGCTGAGCGTAGACGAGGCTGCCTTCACTTCGGGCCTCTGGACCTGCGTTGACCTTCATGAGTCGTAACTATGACCCGCGCCTGTTCAAGATCGTACGATGTACGCTTGTAAGCTGGGCGGCCCAGAACCGGTCGAAATAGGCGACCTTTGGTATTCAAGGAAGTGCTGGTTAAACGACCATACCTAGCAATCATTAGGAAACGTTAGGTGCATTATCCGAACGCTTGCTTTATGCGGTCGTCTAACCAGCGCCTCCGGTTTTGCATGCTGCATTGTTTTTTGAAGATTGCTTATTTTCATCCTGAGAACTCACAAGGCCGAAGAACCAGGGGCCCGATGCGTGATTTGCTTCTATGAAAGCGGCAGTCAGTTTGCTATGGATTATTATGCGTAAGTCATTATTTAATAGGAAGTATCTGTGAAACTGTGCGGCTTGGGGCCCTACGCCCAAGCTGCCCCAATTAAGAAGGGGAAGGGGAGGGGTACGTTGTAGTTCCACTCACGAAACTGGCCTCTGGTGTCACGTGGTTCAGGCCCATGTCCATGGCGCCCAGAGCGCTCTGACATATCCGCGTGTGTCATGCTTGCGCCACGCGCAGAAAACTGGCTGCTTGCGGGGGTTGTAATTAGCTGGGCGAGAGTGACGCATACATGAATGAGAACGGCTAAAATTTTACTGTTTTGCCGCCAGCCCTCGGGAAATGGGTTGTTGTCTTGTTCGTGTGAAACAACTTGTGAGTTATGACTTGGGACTGCGGTAAACTGCGCTCGACTGTCTCCCTATAACACTTCTCCCGAAACCATAACTTAGGCGGGGTACCTCACTATCATCGTCGCGTTTTCGTCGAGACTCCACAATATGGGTCTTCGGACAAGCGGCAGGCATGCGGTCTCATTCCAAGTGGTCACCTCGGGTTGCGCCCGCCTGTTAAGTCGGGCGCCTGCGGACCCCGACGGCAGAGGAGGGCGGGCCGCTTGGCAGATCGCGTGGGAACCCCGCCGCGGGTTCACCCCAGGAACGTTGTGTTATCTCGTGCCGACGGCGAGGAGCGTGCTCGCCGCACCGCGCTGGCGGAGGGTCCGCACGGGCCGACGCGGTGCGGCGCTCAGGGGTTCGTGCTCGGGACAGAGAATCGTCTTCCGGCCGGTTCGCTTTGGAGGGAATGGTCAACGCTTGAAGATGTTGAGGCGAGCAGCAGATGTGATGGATAAGCTCACTTGTAACTACTGGTGTGGCCTTTAGGCTGAAAAATTCTCTAGATGGCGCAATTTCAGGGATCAGTAAAGTGCTTAACATTACGTCACGGTACCTTGCACTACAGTGATTGAGAGCCAATAGACGGACGTTGTATCCGAAATCCGTGCTCACGAACACTAGAAATGAACGACTCGACAATTGCGCTTTTTATCTTGATTGCTGCGAAGCGAATGGGATGGTGGGATTTGAGTGACGTTTAGAAGGGGTTAGGTCTTAAGAAGGGCAGGGTTGTGAACTGCGCCGAATGATTTTCAAGATGGCTTTTATGTTCAAAACCCCGTTTGACTGTGGAGCACTCCCTTAAAGTGGTGTTTTTGATCTGCCCGGAGGAAGGAGCAGTTGCAGTTTTTTGTTTGGCTTCCAAATCAAATATACGATCGCTCAGCTATTCTTGGCTGAATAACCCATTCCGCGCACGACATGATCATGCTCATCTGCGATTGACTAGTTGAAACTCACGCGTGAGGACACGAATCCAACGGTGCCGATGCTGGAAACCGGCTCGAACCATGACTGATTTCACGTCTTGGGCGATTGCTATCATTACGCGACTGTATCCCGGCGGCGGGACGCCAGCACGTTTTCATGGAACTCGCGGCCACAAGGCCTCCCTGCGGGCGGGAAACGCTTATGACGTGAATCGCGATGATGGTTTCGAATCGCGCGTGTTACAGGAATAGAGTCTCGGTGCATGCGACTCGTCGTCCTTTGCTGACCTTGTTTTGACCTCGTGTTCAGTGTTCGTATGACATTCATGCGGGGAAATTGTGCGAATTTTCCTGTCGTTTGTAACATGACGGATGTTCGTCGTTGCATGAAGTAATCATGAAGTGGGTTTATGATACTTGCCGCGCAATCGTGCTCCCCCCCCCCCCCCCATCAGACGTCGGTCAAGGGATGTAGCAGCGCCAGGAAACATGACCCCTCCCCCCACACACACCACACACCACACACCGATCCCGACTCCGCCCCAGATCTCTCGTGTCACTTTCCACCGTCTGGCGCGGTCGTCACGTCCCTTCAGTTTCATGTTACATGCAGTACACGGCGCTTGATTAAGCAAGAACATGACATTGAATCGCCTACCCACGTGGGTCGAAAGGGATGTGGGCGCTGCGTAAACGTGCGGTTCACTGCCTTAGGTCCCAGACCTCAGCCATCATGATCATCATGATCATCATGCATTTTAGTACGCATGCGCCTACTACGTGCGTTCCTTCCGCCTAGCGAGTGTTCCTACCACGTGCGTTCCTACCGCCACGTGTGTTCTTACCGAACGGCTGCGTGATCGCGCCAGTGAGCCAGAGGTGGCGGCCCGTGCGTACCTCCTGGGTGGAAGTGGACCTGCCGGTGTGTCCGCGAGGTGGAGGGGGGGGGGGATTATCTGACTGCGCCTGTCAGGTGGGGCTGTCCGAAGTGCCCGCGGTGTAAATTACGGCTGTGGATGCGGGTGTGTGTGAGTCCGGGCTGAACCCGTGCCGGTGTTCTCAGTCGAAACAGGTCTCAGTGCGTCCTCCAGGCCGAATCATTGCTTGTGTTCTCAGTCGAAACAGGTCTCGGTGCGTTGGTGGGTCAGATCCAGTCGGATAAACCCTTGAGCGCCTCCATGGGTGTGTGGCGTCACGTGACGTGACATGACGAGCCTACGCGTGCCCACCGTGCCGGTGACAGATGGTGTGACGCCCCATCGCCGCTGGGGGCAGGTGATGTGACGACCCCCCCCCCCCCCCTTCTTCCCCTGCAGGCTGTCGGTAATATAGTGGTTAACGCGCCTGCGTCAACGACTGCGCGTCTGGGAAACTAGATGTACTGGGTTCGATTCTCCGCGGTGCCCGCCCTTCCTGCCAGGACGAGAGGCAGGCGACGCCGTATAGCCTCAGCAGCTGAGTGCGTCGGGAAGCCCCAATGACAACAGCTTCTTTCCCTGCCGGGCAGGTGGTGACCCGATGTCAGGAGCCACGGACAGCCGGGTGCCGGCTACCGGCGACGCCGAGCCGACCTCGGCGTCGACCCCGGCCGTGACCCCGGCTGTGACCCCGGCGCCGGCCGGTGGCACGCCGGCCCGGCCGGCCACGCGCCGCTCACCGCAGGACTATAGGTACGCCGGCGAGGTCACCGGAGGAGGCGCTGCGGGTGATGGCCGGTCCATGGGGAGGAGGGTTTCCCGCCTGGGCTGGTGAGGGGAGGGGTCCATTGTGTGTTGTGGGGTCACAGGGGACACTGTTCAGCCACGTGGCACCAGGGTGATTATGGGGGGTTCGCGCATGATACTGTATGATGAAAACAATATGGTGTGTTTATGTGGATGCCTGTAGTGTAGTGCTCAAAGGGAATGTTTCACATTTGAAAGTATGTGTGTGAGCAAGCATCAGATATGATGAAACAGGCTTACTTCACGATTGGTATGATTTTGAAGTGGAGAGACTGCTCTAGCCAGTACAATTCTCTGTGACGTGAACATGATGTGTCGTCATATTCACTAAATAAAAGGTCGTAGTCAATGTGTCAGGGTTTGATCACGTGGTCGTACCTTGCACAACATTGATTGAGAGCCAATTGACGGTCGCTTTATCTGTAGATCGTGCTCACGAACGCCAGATATGAACGCCTTCAGAATCATGCTCTTCTCGGCTTTGATCGCGGCATGGCTTACGAAATAGCTGGATTTGAATGACGTTATTATGACGTCGTGAATGCCAAGGGAACTTGGAAATACTCTCCCCTATGTACCTTTCCCCATTTTCGCGGGCGTGTAGCTCAGAAACTTGAGGGGCTTGGATCTTAAAAGGGGCAGAATTGTGAACAGCACTGAAAGGTCTTCAAGGTGGCTATTTCAGTTCAAGCCGCTATATAAATGTGGAACAGTCCCTTTAAGCTACGAGTCTGGAGCATTGAGATACGGGGTTTGATTTCCCGCGATGCCCGCCCTTGCTGCCAGAGTAAGGCGGGCAACGTCACAAAGCCACAGCAGCCGAGCGCGTCGTAAAGCCCCAGTGACGTCAAGGGTGAAGGCTTACGTGCACGTTCGGTGTCCGAAGACGGCTGTTAAAGCTACCAGGAAAGCGTCGCGACGGCAGTGCGTTTGTCCTGTTCGCCGAATGGTGTCGCGTTGTGCGGCCAGCGCGGTTGTGACGTCGGCGGTGTGCATGCTGCTGTTGATGTTCGCAGCGCGTTGCGGCGCTGCGTGACCTCCAGCGGTCGATGCGCCCCAAAACCCCAAATTATCATCATCATCACAGTGCGTTGCCTCTAAGATATGCCAGATCACGCGGCAGGGTACAGTTGTGTGTTTCCCAAATACTCTTGCGACGCGTTCTCGCTCCCACCGTTCGTTGGCGGCCGCTACAGTTCACAGTCGCTGTCTCCGTTCATTTCACTTTTTGTCTACAGCTGAGCCTTGTGGCTCGCCCTGCATGCATGTCGTCATCGCAGAACACGTCGCACCCACGTTTTGTCGCAATGACGGCGGAGGTGCAGTGCTGTGCCGCTCTGTGACCCCCTCCCCCGTCCCCTCCCCGCGGCCGTCAGATTCGGCAAGGAGATCGGTTGTGGCAGCTTCTCCACCGTCTACATCGGCAAGGACATACACATCGACCGCGAAGTGGCCAGTGAGTGCCCGGCGTCGGCGGCGGCCGACCGTGACGTCGCTGTGTGCGCGCGTGCGTGCGTGTGTGTGACGTCACATGGAGCGTGACGTCACCCGCGGCTCGGCGCCCCGTTGGTGACGTCACGCCGGGTGGGCGCGCCGTCGGTGACGTCACCGGCGGCGCCGCGCGGGGCCCGGCGCCGCTGGGCGTACCGTTAGGATTGTTCGGTATGCGACCGTTGCGACACGCGCCTGCGAGGCGCCGAGCGGGCGGAAAACCGCCGCTGCGGCGTCGGAGCGGGCCGTGGGTGTGGCTCGGCCGTTTGGGCACGCTCTGGGGGCGTGGCTCGGCCGTCTGGGCACGCCTAGGGAAATGGCGGACGGTCTGGACGCGTCCTGCCTCGTTTGCGCGACACGTTTTACGCAGTTTGTTTACGTCGTGGTGAATGCAAATTGTCCTTTGCTCGTTTGTTCTTTGTTCGTTCTGCATTTTCGCATAGCGCTAAAAGCTTGGGCTGGTGCCCAGTGCTGGATAACCGCGTTTCGCAGAATTCTGTTAGCTTGTTAGTTAGATGGATGAAAGTGGTCCTAAAAAACACGCATCTGTGTTTTAAAGAACAGGCGCTGGGTACCCCAGTTCTCACTAGGCTTTTGGTAGACCCATCGCTATGCTACGAGAAGCCTACTCGTCAATTGCTGCCCATCAGCCGTGGCCCACCTGGCAGGCACATTCTCTGGAGTCCTGTACTCTATAAGGGTTCCGAATGTCCCGTAAGAACTAGGAGTGCGATCACACTCCTGTCAGCCCCGCATTGTATGTTGGGTTGCGAAGGCGCGGGCTGTGTGCTTCGCGCGCTTTAATGTGAGATACTCGCTTCAGAGATACGTGAGATACAAAGTTCCGCGTGCCGCGAAGGGAAAGGGCGTTCTTGACCCTTTGACCCTTGGCCCTGACCCCTGGCCTTGGCTTCTGATTTATGACCCCGTGCATACGGATCTTTGACCCTAGCCCACTGTCTACTGCCCGCTGACCCCTGCCCGCTGACCTCTGCCCACTGATGTCTGCCCACTGACCTCTGCCCACTGCCAACTGCCCACTGACCTCGGACCCTTAATCCTGATATCTGACCCCTGCACATCGACCCGTGACCCCTGACCGTCCCCGCCTGGCTCTCCGCAGTCAAGGTGTGCGAGAAGCGGCACATCATCAAGGAGCGCAAGGCCGAGTACGTGAAGCGCGAGCGAGACATCCTCAACCACCTGAGTCAGCACGCGCGCCGTGACTGCCCCTTCTTCGTGCGGCTCTTCTGCACGTTCCAGGACTCGGAGCGACTCTGTATCCTCTGGTGTGGTGCGGCGGCCGTGAGCGCGGCGGCGCGCGTGTTTTGTCCCGCGGTGGCGAGAGGGGGGGGGGAGGAGGAGGAGGGGCCCAGCCTGTCGTTGCCCCGGCGGCACGCTGTGGCGCCGTGCCGATCAGGACAGAGGCCGTGGTCAGACGATCCAGCGTGGTGGGAGCGGGGGGCATTGTTTGGTGCGTGTCGTCACAGTCTGCAATGTGTAGGGTGGTTTATCATGACACCAAGGCTGACCACGCCGTCCACGACAGGCTTCCCGCCTGCGGTAGGCCCGTGAGCAGTGATCTCGCAGTGTGTCGTCCGGGTTCAGTGCAGCGCACTGTTTTCCTGCCGTCCTTTAGCGCTCTGCCCTCCGCGCCTGAAGCATTTCTATGGTCTCTGCACGTGTTCTGCGCGTGTCTGTCTGTCTGACCGTCTGTCCGTCTGTCCCGCCATCGGTGCGGCGTCCTCCGCGTGGTTTCCTTAGCTTGCGCGCCACAGACTTTGTGCTGACGCTGGCCAAGCGGGGCGAGATGCTGGAGCACCTGACCAAGGTGGGCACCTTCGACCTCGCCGTCAGCCGGTTCTACGCCGCCGAGCTGGTGCACGCCGTGGAGCACCTGCACCGGGTCGGCGTCATACACAGGTCAGTGGCCGGGTCAGAGGTCAGGCGCCGGGTCAGCGGGGGTCAGGCGAGGCCGAGGCTGGGGCCCGAGTGCAGGGGCGTTGCCACCGCGCGGGCGGTGGGGCTCGGGCCTCGTCGTCTTTGGGGCGCGCATGATTGTGCTGGGGCTCTCTTGTGTCCGTGTCCGTGTGTGGGTGTGTGTGTGTGTGTGTGTGTGTGTGGTGTGTGTGTGTGTGTGTGTGTGTGTGTGTGTGTGTGTGTGTGTGTGTGTGTGTGTGTGTGTGTGTGTGTGTGTGTGTGTGTGCGTGGTGCGTGCGTGCGTGCGTGCGTGCGTGCGTGCGTGCGTGCGTGCGTGCGTGCGTGCGTGCGTGCGTGCGTGCGTGCGTGCGTGCGTGCGTGCGTGCGTGCGTGCGTGCGTGCGTGCGTGCGTGGCGTGCGTGGTGTGGTGTGTTTGTGCAATGCATCATGACGGCGTGAAATTCAGCAGTTCCGCCCCTGCCGCAACGTGCCGAGGGGCGAGAGGGTGGCGTGGGGTGATCCGTGATCCGCAGTTGGAACGTGCCAGATTCTGACACTGCTCTCGTGGTCCGATGTTTTGGCGTGGTCAGCCATCTCCTGCGCAGATGACTGTCGGGCCTCTTGTGAGATTGTTTACCGTCGCTTCTGATGGGTGGGCTCATTAGTGGCCGCCGGCGTAGATGCATGAGCTCGCAGTTTTGCAGAGCATACCAACCGGCATTACTGAGGTGTCTGGCGCCGCGGTCTCCTCCGTCCGCTCCGGAGAAGGCGAAACTACAGCCGTTGCAAATTCTTTCGGATATTTTTATCACATCTGCCTCCACTTGCCGTGCACGTTCCAAGCCCCCCCCCCCCCCATTTCGCAAGCCTGACGAGCGGCGCTGCCCAGGGACTTGAAGCCGGAAAACGTCCTGCTGGACGAGCAGATGCACATCAAGATCTCGGACTTCGGCTCGGCCAAGATGGTGACGCGGGAGGAGGGGCGCCAGCTGATGCAGGGACGCCTCGGCCTGGCCGACGCCGCCGACGACTCCGACGCCACCAACGTCGCCAACGCCGCCAACGCCGCCAACACCGCTGGCGACGACGGGCCGGCCGCCGACCGTAAGGGCTCTGACCTGTCGCGGCATGACGCAGGCGCCCCGGGCCAGACGAGTGGCTGGCAGCTGGTGATAGGGTACGGCCAGTGGTCTGGACGCGGCGCCGGAAAATGGAACGCAGTGGGGAGAGAAAAGCAGTCTGGATAACCGGTCACAGTCTGGATACAGTTAGGGTCTTGCCTTCTGCTTTTTGGTGCGGTCAGTGACTGCATACTATACATGGGTCAGGATAGCCGGTCAGTGGGGCGAGCGAGTGAGTGAGTGACGCGAGGCCTGTGCGTACGCGGGTCCAGTACGTGCACGAGTCCAGCTCGTATGCGGGTCCAGCGCACAATGTGTGGCCCGGGTGGTGAGACGGCAACCGGACTGTGGCAAGGACAGCCAAGCACGCGGACGAGCGTGCCAGCTGTCTGACCTCGGCTTCAGCTCCGACTCACCTCCACTCCCCCCCCCCCCTTCTCCTCTCTATGGCAGCGGAGCGTCCGGCGCGGGCCCGCACCAACAGCTTCGTCGGCACGCCCGAGTACGTGTCGCCCGAGCTGCTGCAGGAGAAGACGACCTCGCACGCCAGCGATCTCTGGGCGCTGGGCTGCATCCTCTACCAGATGGTGGCCGGCCTGCCCCCCTTCCGCTCCAGGTCAGCGAGCCGGGCCGCGTGGCCCGGCGCAGGCGCCGGACGGCGCTGGGTGTAACATTGTGTCAGGATGGAGGTGGGGGCTGGTGTCAGGCCGCTCCAGAGGCCGGGAGGTGGCGTCGACAGGTCGGGTAGGGGAGTGGCGGTTGGTTGTGTACGCCGGCTGTGGTCGGAGCGCCGCGGGGTGCAGGCAGACAGCGACGCCACACCGAAACCGCGCGGGCTCATTTGACACGCCACAATGTGACAGCGTCACCGCCAGTGTCGGCAGCATTCCGGCGGGCGACGCCGCCCAGCACCGTGTTCGCCAGCAGGGCGGCTGCTCCGTGACCGGCTCTGTACAGCAGCCGCGGCCGCGGTGCGCTCTGCGCTGCCCGCTGGCGCGTGGCGACGCCGGTGACGCTGATGGCCCGCCGCCTGACGTGATGACGTGATGACGTGCGTCGCTGACCGACCGCCCTCCGCCGCTGCAGGAGTCAGTACTTAATATTTAAGAAGATCCTGGCGCTGGACTACGTCATCCCGGACGACGGCTTCCCAGAGGAGGTGGCTGATCTCGTCCGGCGCCTGCTGGTGAGCGGGGGGGAGCGGCCGCGGCCGCCGGCGGCCGAGAGCGCCGGCGCCGGCGGCGGCGCGGACGTGCTGGGTTGTCCGATGCTGGGACAGCACGGTGGCGTGTGTTAACGCGCGCGCGCGCCGAACGCTTGCCCGGGCCATGCGACCGCTTGGGGTCGCGTGTTTGGCGCGTGTGCAGTGTGCTAGCGTTCACCTGTGAGTCGGACCGGCGTCCGCGTCGGCCGCCGCCGGTTCGGGGCGGTGATGTCCAGCGTCGCGCCATGTGCAGTGACGCGCGTGAGCCGCCTCACGGGTGGTGTCCGAACGAGCGCTGTGTCACGGCTGGTGACGCGCGTGAGCCGCCTCGCGGGCGGTGCCGGCGCGAGCGCCACGGCCGCCGACGTCTGAGCCCCGTTTGCCGCGGCAGGTGCTGGAGCCGGCCAAGCGTCTGGGCGCGGACGACTCCGGAGACGGCTACCCGTCCATCAAGGCGCACCGCTTCTTCGCCGGTGGGTATCCGGCGGGCGGAGCTGGAGTCGGGCTGGGGATCACGTTTGGTGGCGTGCGCAGTGTCCGTGGTGGCCGGTGATGTGCCTCACTTGGTGCTGTGTCCCCCGTGCTGACGTGTGTCGCTGTGCCGCCCCGTGCTGACCTCACGTGTCACTGCGGCATCCTGTACTGACCTCATGTGTCGCTGTGCCGCCCCGTACTGACCTCACGTGTCACTGCGGCATCCTGTACTGACCTCACGTGTCGCTGTACCACCCCGTACTGACCTCACGTGTCGCTGTGCCGCCCCGTACGGACCTCACGTGTCGCTGTACCACCCCGTACTGACCTCATGTGTCGCTGTACCACCCCGTACTGACCTCACGTGTCACTGCGGCATCCTGTACTGACCTCACGTGTCGCTGTGCCGCCCCGTACTGACCTCACGTGTCGCTGTGCCGCCCCGTACTGACCTCATGTGTCGCTGTGCCACCCCGTACTGACCTCACGTGTCGCTGTGCCGCCCCGTACTGACCTCACGTGTCGCTGTACCACCCCGTACTGACCTCACGTGTCGCTGTGCCGCCCCGTACTGACCTCACGTGTCGCTGTGCCGCCCCGTACGGACCTCACGTGGCGCTGTACCGCCCCGTGCGGACCTCACGTGGCGCTGTACCACCCCGTGCTCACCCCACGCGTCACCGTGCCCCCAGGTGTCGAGTTCAGCAGCCTCCACGAACAGACCCCGCCCGAGATCTACCCGTTCCTGCCGGGCAACCAGGAGCACCCGGAGCTGCGCAGCACGTACAGGGTACGGTAGGGGGCGCCCGGAGCTGGCGGGACGAGGGCTGAAGGCGCGCGGTAGCGGGGACGGGGTTTGTGCGGCGCTTCGCTGGACGGCGCTTTGGCAGGAGCCCTGCATGCGATGTCCGCGCCGAGTACCGCGTGCGCCCGCGGCCCGGGCGGGGACTGGTGCCTGTGGTGGGGTGAGGGCAGGGCCAGCCTCGGGCGCGAAATGACCGCTGTAGTCGACGCGCCTCAAAACCCCGATAAGCAACCTAAAGAAGAGGTGAGGGGTGAGGGTGGCACGCCGGCGTTTTGACATTCCATGCCGAGATTGCACGCGGCGTGGAAGAGCTGCGGTTCGGGGCAGTCTGAATGGCGACGAATACGGACGGTGCATCCTGTGTTGTACTCTCGGCAGGCGTCGTGTCTAGACCGCATCCGTTAAAGAACGCTGTAGGTCTGTCTCGGCTTATCTGGATCACCGCACGCAATTGCGCTGCTGTGCTGTGCGCGACGCGTAGTGCTGCCATCTATCAACTATTCGCGGAACCTGAACTTCAGGTACCTGACGACCTGGAGCCCGGGCTGTCGGACCGGCAGCTGACCAAGGTGCTGCTCAACATGTCGCTGGAGGAGTGCCAGCCGTTGCAGCAGTCGCCGGCGCCGGCCGTCAGGACCAAACGCAACATCGCTGATGTAAGCCGGCTGATCGCCCGGTCCTGTTCTGTCCGCGTCTCCGCCCCAGGGCTGATGCATCCCAGGTAGCCGGGATCGGGGTGGCCAGTGGAGTTCTGCGGACTGCTGTTTCCACCACACTGAGGTGTATAGGTTACTGTCCTGCCCTGGGAATCTGTGACTGTTGCTATGGCCCAGCTACCGCTGACCCGCCGCGGTTGACCCCCGAGTCCTCTGACGTAGTTGTGGCTTGCGACCTTTTCCTTCTGCTTATGTGTGTGACCCGGGACACATCACTGTCACACATGTGACCTCAGACCCTGTCTCGGGTGTGACCTGACTCCTCGCCCCGGGCGAGACCTCCCCGCTGACCCATACCTATCCGTTGGCCCGTGACCCCTGCGCTGGTCCGTGACCCCTCTGCCGAGCTGTGACCCCTCCGATGACCAGTGACTCTCCTCCCTCCCCCTGACCTGTGACCCCTCCGCTGACCCGTGACCTCCGCTGACCCGTGACCTCCGCTGACCTGTGACCTCTCCGCTGACCCGTGACCCGGCAGGTGCCGCCGGACGAGGCCGCCCGCCGCCTGGCCGAGCAGGAGCGTGACAACAAGTGGCATCGCTTCACGGAGGGGCACCTCATCCTCAAGCAGGGCCTCATTGACAAGCGGAAGGGCCTGTTCGCCCGGCGCCGCATGTTCCTGCTGACGGAGGGGCCTCACCTCTTCTACGTGGACCCGGTGCACATGGTGCTCAAGGGCCAGATCCCCTGGTCGCGCCACCTGCGCCCGGAGGTCAAGAACTTCAAACACTTCTTCGTGCACACGGTGAGGGTGGCAGGAGGGGGAGGGGTGGCGTGGGGTGTGAGGGGCTGCCAGGGTTGTGTGGGTGGGCGCAGGTGAAGGTCTGGAGTTGTGTTCGTTACGGGGGGGGGGGGGGAGGGGAGCAGTTCTTGGCAGGGAGTTTGGTAGCCGTGTCTCCGTTTTTGGTAGCCGTGTCTTCGAGTTTGGTAGCTGTGTCTCCGTGTTTGGTAGCTGTGTTCTCGCGTTTGGTAGCCGTATCTCCGCGTTTGGTAGCCACGTCTGTGTGCCTGGTAGCCGTGTCTCCGTGTTTGGTAGCCGCCTCCACGTGTTTTGTAGCGGCGTGTCCGTGTTTGGCAGCCGCGTCTCCGTGTTTCGTAGCCGTGTCTCCGTATTTGGTAGCCGCGTCCCCGTGTTTGATAGCCGCTTCTCCGTATTTGGTAGCCGCTTATCCGTGTTTGGTAGCCGTGTCTCCGTGTCTCCTAGTCGCGTCTCCGTGTTTGGTAGCCGTGTCTCCGTGTTTGGTAGCCGCGTCTCCGCGTTTCGTGGCCGCGTCTTCGTGTTTGGTAGCTGCTCCTCCGTGTTTGGTAGCCGTGTCTCCGTGTTTGGTAGCCGCGTCTCCGCGTTTCGTGGCCGCGTCTTCGTGTTTGGTAGCTGCTTCTCCGTGTTTGGTAGCCTTGTCTCCGTGTTTGGTACCCATGCACGCCGCCCGATGTCGGGATACAGGCTGGCCCCGCCCTGAGACCCAGCCAGCGGTGCCTGCCCGTCGCCCCTCGCTGACCCCCCCCCCCCCCCTCCCCTGCAGCCGGGCCGCACCTACTACCTCGAGGACACGGACGGCTACGCGCTCGAGTGGGTGAAGGCCATTGAGGAGGTGCGGCTGCACGCGTATGGCGATTGACGCCGGCTCCCCGCTAGCTGCTGACGCTGGCGGGCCGGCTCCCGCGGCCACGGCCGAGACGGCGCGCCCCCGCCGCCGAGGGCCGCTCGGGTCGGCCGGGCTGCGGCGGCGCGGCGCGGCGGTCTCCGGACACCCCCGCGGCGGCGGGTGACGGGGCACGGGTGGGCGCGCGAGCTCCGGAGCAGGCTCGGTCGTGCCGTCAGAGGGCGCGGTGGGGGCGGCCGGTCCCGGCTGCACCCGGCGCAGCCAGGCGAAATTGTACATACATGCATTGACTACACGCATTGACTACGCGTATGAATAGCGTCTTTCCAGTTGTTGCGCGCCGTAGTGGCCGTGTTGGCGGTGCCGGGCGCCGGGCGCCGATCTGTGAGGCTCGACGCGCTCTCTGCGGCGCGCCCCTGTCGGTGTCATCCACGCGCTGTGTCGGTCTCCAACGCGCAATCTCTCACCTTCCGAACCAGTCCCCTCGAAACACAGCCGAGCGTACAGCGCTCTAGCGCTGATGCTGCACAATGCAACTGCGCCGCGTCTTGTCGCGGTTAGCCGTCGTGGTCGCCTGCCCGCGGGCTGGCACCGCCGGATGCCTGGTTAGAGGCTAGAGTTGGCGGGCGTCATAGCCTCGTGGCGGCTGGCGCCGCGCGCGGGGTTGCGACGGCGGCGGCTCGTGTCGCGTGACCGACCTGTCTCGCGTGTCGGGCGCCGATTGGTGGACGGGATGGCGGAAGCCACTGACTTCACTTGCTTCACTGTAGCCTCTATCGAGGCGTGTGCAATAGCGGGATTTCGTGGAGCTCAGTCCGCGTGCTGTTTTCACCGTGTGTCCTCCCTCTGTCCGGCCGAGTCGATAGTGACAAATATGTGAGCGAAGTGCTGTTACCAGAAGATGAGGCGAGCAATGCAGGGGGGTGCGCGCTGCTGGTGTCAGCAGTCGCCCTGGCTTCCGACCGACCCTGGGCTGCCTGGACGGTGGAAATGTGCGATACAAGAAGTTGTGTAGAGGTCGGGGAGTTATGTGCGTCAGTTGGTCGTTGGCTGGCCGTGGGGAGCGTATAGCGATGGAGGTATGCGCGCGTTCTCGCGTAACTCATACTTTTCCGAACCATTTGCGTTCTGCGTTTATGCGAATGGGGTGACGTGAACATACTGTCGCGAAAGTGCGAGACTCTGTACCGATTTGTTGTCAGTGATGCCGAAACTGCACAGTCCACCGCGTTCTTTATTCATGGAAACCTCGCAAGAATGACGTGAACTCTCTCTCATATTCGCCAGAGCGTGGATTCTGCGCCATATTGGGCGTCTTCGGCGCGACAAGCGTGGGCGATTTGGGGGTTGTGGCGACATGGTATCTTACGCACGGATGGCGGGACGGTGCGAGGAGCAGCGACCGGTCCCTGAGACTGGTGAGATGCAGCTCTCTCTGGTGAGAGCGGCGACTGGTGAGATGGAACTCGGATTTCGGCCGGCCGCACGCGCCGGCTGTTGTACCTATTTATTTAACCGTCTGGAAATACAAGTGGAGCGAGTGCCGTTCGCCGCCTGTCAGTGAGATTCAGCGACGAGGCGCCACGGCGGCGACCGGGCGCGAGGTTATGATTGTTACGCTCTCGGTGCGGGGGCTCTTGCACGTGGCCTCACGTGCACCTGTCACCAGTTACAATCTTGCACTAGTGCAGAGGGTAATCCACACTGGTGCAGCTCCGGCTTTCAGATGGGATTTAGTTTTTCTAAGGGCTGCTTACGGGACAGGGCGCTGTAATAAGATGGCAAAAGCTCTTGTTTCGCAAGCTGTGGACTTAAAGTAAGGACTTAAAGTGGACTTAAAGTAAAGTAAGTAAGGGAGACTGGGTCTGAAGGTCTGATAGTCAGCTCAGACTTAACGCTTCACTTTTGTTGGTCATGTTTGATTCAGGAATGCTGTTCTTTTTATGCGTGGCTGGCGTGTCATCGTGTTTCGAACCGAATATCCGTGGCCGCACAGATCAAGATAGCCCAAAAATCTAACCGAAATAACAATGGTTTCAGCATCGGCTGTATCACGGTTATTCTGTATTTTAGATAAAAAGTTTCACAATATCCGGCACGTTGCTCTACGTGCCCCGATACAGAGGCGCTTTATTTAAATTTCTGGTTGGGTGCTCGTACGCGATACACTTTCGTTTGCCACATATCCTATTCCTGTAAGACTACGTGCGTGAACAGTACCGTTTGGATTACCGTTAGACAGACGAACAGGGAATCGCCTGGTGTCCGAGGTGCAGAAGCACGTACCACGTGCCACGTGCACAGAAGCGGCCAACACAAACTTCCCCGTTATGTCCATTTGGCTAGTTTTTCACCCTTTTTAGTTTTACCAAAGCTCGGTAGCCCGAGCATGCAGAGGCACGAATTCAATTTCAGTACGCTGGTCGACGTGCCCTCGTAGATTCATGTGCCCGGCACGAGTTTTTGCGACTCAGGTTGCGCCGATAACCGCTGGACAAGCCGAGAATGTCGGCATTTGGAATGTCACGTCGAGCGAAAATAATCGCAGTGGGTACGGCAAAATGACGCTCGGAATGCGGTAGGTTTTCGGCGAATCTCATTGCTACGGCAACGCTGCACTCCCATTAGGGCTTCGCGTGGTGTGTTTTGAAGTTAAAGAAGAGCGCAACACAGAAAACTTGCGGCAGTATTGACATGCGGCGGCGGCGAACATGGTGAGATCTAAAATTGGCAGTGGTAGCGAGTGGCGTGTTCTTGAACTTTTGGAACGCATAATAGCGCTCCAGACGGAGTGGAAATGTGGAGAGCAGGATTTGAACGTCCCTAGTGGTCAGCACATCACCCTCGGTTCCCGTCGGGGCATACCGACATTCGGGTCGACCAGGGAATCACGGCATCCCGACATTCGGGTCGGCCAGGAAATCACGGCATCCCGGCATTCGGGTCGGCCAGGGAATCACGGTATCCCGGCATTCGGGTCGACCAGGAAATCACGGCATCCCGGCATTCGGGTCGGCCAGGGAATCACAGCATCCCGGCATTCGGATCGACCAGGGAATCACGGCATCCCGGCATTCGGGTCGACCAGGGAATCACGGCTTGCTGGCATTCGGGTCGGCCAGGGAATCACGGCATCCCGGCATTCAGGTCGACCAGGGAATCACGGCATCCCGGCATTCGGGTCAACCAGGGAATCTCGGCATCCCGGCATGCGGGTCGGCCAGGAAATCACGGCATCCCGGCATGCGGGTCGGCCAGGGAATCACGGCATCCCGGCATTCGGGTCGACCAGGGAATCACGGCTTGCTGGCATTCGGGTCGGCCAGGGAATCACGGCATCCCGGCATTCAGGTCGACCAGGGAATCACGGCATCCCGGCATTCGGGTCAACCAGGGAATCACGGCATCCCGGCATGCGGGTCGGCCAGGAAATCACGGCATCTCGGCATTCGGATCGGGCAGGGAATCCCACAGATGGTGTTGAATGTGCCCCGAGATAATGCAAACAGTAAGCGTCCATGGTACTTCGCTGCGTAACAAAGCAAGCTCACCAGAACTTGCAGCTCATTAATTCTGTGTCCAAACCAAACGTGCTGATCGTGGACAAAAAAGAAAAGAAGCCTTTGGAAGTTTTGCGCATGACATTGCAGAAATACGTTCCTGGCACCTATTTATACGCACACGACCATGCAGACGCATACGGCCTTTGAAAGGTAACAACCGTTCAATGCCATTCCTACACTTACACCCCTATCACGGCGTAGTAATTTGCTCTGACCATCTCATGTCAGGTTCTGACAATAATGCATGCAAGACACGTTTTACATCAATTTGATCTACCTGGTCCAGAGATAAAAAACAAGGCAAACTCGTTAGGCTATCAGTTTGCAGTAACTTGAAGATTTTACTACTCATTAAGAAGTTCGGTTTTTTATTCATGAAGTGACTTTCAGTCACAAAAACTCGTTTTGAACTTAACAGGAGCAGCAGGGCGGTGGGAGAAAACTGCGACGCGTCCCTCAGACAGCTGGGCAAATCAATGCCACACTTCCACCCATTCGGACTTTACATTTCGCGGGGCTTATTTGACGCAGTCGCATTGTCAAGAAAGGGACAGATTGCCCATATAAAAGCTAGACCCACTATACCCTACTGCTGCAGCATGCTTGTGTGCCATAGAGCCCATGCTGTGATCAAAATATTGCAAATTATCTTTTTACGAAGAGACGGATCGGACAAAAATACATGCCAGGGGGATCTGGAGAGTACGCTGCAGCTTACTCATGTTTTATCAAACATCGGTATGCTGTAATCGCAGCGGCAGGGTCAAGGCTGCTGTTTTGCAAAATAAATCGTGAAAACCAAGCGGTGAAAATGACGAGATCCTTACAAAGATACGCCAGCGAATACGTTTACCGCCGGATGCACTACTAAGTGATATCTATTTGGCCGCTGGAGTAATCATAATAATTTAAATTCACTAGTCGAGCTTTGCATTTTCCAGTCCATCCTACGGCACCGCAGTGCCACCTGGTAACCGTGCGGAAATGATGTGTGGGACAGCATGGATCCGATGTAATATCGCACTACATCGGAGCATAATCCAAGCTTCCACCGCTTCGCGAACCGTCCGTTGAACGGCGCCACTGTCGCCGGCAGGCTAGCGGTTGGCGGCCAGGTGCGGCCGGACGCGCGTCACCAAACGGCGCCACCTGTGCCGTCGGCTGGGGACACGCCCGGCCAAACGGCGCACCAGCTCCGCACCAGCTGTCGGCGCGCGAGGGAGGGGGGGGGGGGGGGGCAGCCGTGTGGCCATTTACGACGCAGTCTCTCATCTTCCTGTTTTTTCCCACGCGACTGCTGCAGCTGCAGTCTTCTACGTCGACCGCCGCGCCGGTCTGGGCGACCCGCGGAGGTGAGCTTGCGTGCCGGGGCAAGACCCAGCTTCATTCTCACGAGCGGAATTCACTGCACCGCAACTTAACCCCACAGCCCATGCCTCAAAACCTGGCCAGATCGGGAGGGACCTAAGCCCGCATCACCACGACCTATGCGTTGCTAGGAACATAGACGGAACTAAAAACTTGTTTGTGGATGACCAGCTGGTCACGTGGCCTGGCCGTGGCCGCTGTGTGCTTGAATCGACCGGCGAGTGAGCTCTGTCCGGCTCTGCGGCGGTGGAGCTATGTCCGACGGGCGCCAGCTCCGCCTCAGGACGCTGTCCACTGAGTCCGAGCTAGAGTCGACTGGCTGGTCCATACTCTGCAGATGGATAGCGGCAGGGACGCGAAGTTAATCTTAGATCCGCAGTTGGAACGCGGAGCTAGAAATACACCGATAGATTGATCGATGAATTTGATTGCGGATGATTGCATTGATCGCATTACATGGCATTGATTGCATTACATTGCATTACATTGCATTGATTGCATTACATTACATCGCATCGCATTGCATTGCATTGCATTACATTGATTACATTGCGTTGCATTACATTACATTACATTGATTGCAGATGATGATTTGATGATTACAAATCGACAACGGCAGGAGTACGCTGTCAATTTTAAACCGGCGCTTGAACCTTGGAGCTAAAAGCCTTACTAAATGTTCACAAAGACATAGTAGGCCCTACTGCTGTTCCTCACACTCCTGCACACGCCGTGTTTTCTGGCACCTAACATAGTGTTTGGCCTCGATCGTCACAGCATTGACCTATTGACCGCAGTGACGTAACTATGGGAACGGGATTTTGGGGGTCATCCCGGCTGGCCGTGGCGGAGGCTCCTCAGAACCGAAGGTTTTAGTCCCTTTTAGCAGTTTAAGACGCACGTAGCTATTTAGAATATTCCAAATGGGCTTCGATACGTGAGAATAAGGCCCCGGCATAACCAGATCACCTCATCGAAAGTCAGGTCACAGGCGATGCAATAAGAGCACTTTGTCAAGAAGACTTCATTAATGCCCAATTTGGCCCTCCTGGGCCAATCCCTGGCTACGCCACTGCTCAGCCGAGCTTACGCCGGCTGTACCGACCGTTTCTGAGCCTGCCGCGACCGACCAAGGGCAGCGTTTGCGTACAGCCGCGCAGTTCGCTCGCCTCACCCCGTGCTCAATAACGAGACCTCGGAGGGCAAGATGACGTCAGGTGCTTTACTTTTACTCCCTCCACCAGGGGGGGGGGGCCTGGTGGCGCCTCTGCCGGGTACGCGTGACAAGCCTGGGTGTCGCTACATTCTCTCCCCGAGCTGGGCTCCTGGTGACGCCCCTGCCGGGCGCGCGTGGCGAGGGTGCGAGACAGCTGCCTCCGACAGCAGCAGCCGGTCTGTGCGTCACCCCAGGGGGGGGGGGGGGGGCAGTGTCCCACCGGTGCCCCAACAGTGTCCCGGCAGCAGGGAGCCAGCGCACCAGGACATGGCCCTCAGCCACCCGGCAGTGTTGAATCGGCGACCGCTTTGAATCTGATCACGGCAGCAGGAGGGTCCTCAACATCATCCAGTGCTCGCGCTCTCAAGACCTCTGCTGCCGCCAGCACGACAGAGGCACCATGTGAGCCCGACGCCGTGTCCCTTGGAAGTCCGCATCTGAGCCTGCATTTAGAGTGAGTTCTATATGAGAGGGGTAGAGGCTTGGCAAGCATGGTAGTGGTGGTAGGTAGTGGTAGGGGTTTTAGGGCGCATCGACTGCTGAAGGTCATGCAGCGTAGGTAGTGGCAGTGGTAGTCGTAGTGGTAGTGGTAATCGTAGTCGCAGTGGTAGCGGTAGTGGTAGTGCACGCGCGGAAATTCCCTACGATCGATTTGCGATCGATAACGATGTCCCTGGTTACAATTACTAGGCATCGTGGAATTCGTCAGATTCTTCAACTGGGTTTCTACGATGCATTTTATTCCCACCACGGCGGCCACACGCCTTCTGAGCCATGCGCACGAGACAACGTCCGCTTTTTTGCTGGGCAGACACGTGTTTACCAGACCCGCTCTCTCAGCCCAGCGGCGTCCCACCTTTCCGTCGGTGTCCTGGTGCCCACAGAGCTAAGCAGGATCCCCGAAGCGAACCCTCGGGCACCGGAAATCAAGCTATGCTGAAATGTAAAAAAATGATCAAAAACCCGGCACCAGCGAGCTCTGCTAATCGCTCACCTTGGAATGGGAGGTTTTTCACCTGTATCTCACTTCAAGCTACAAATGCGAGCTATTGTGAGAACATGCAGCAAAAGTGCTGGTAAAATAAATCTGCATACATTTTTCCTTTTAATCACACGAAAACCCTTTGTTCACGTGAACTTTCAACCCTATTATCTATACAAGTCTGCATCCATCTGGTTTTCCAATTTAGCCGATCTGGTGTTACTTCCCGCATGGTTACCACGTGAAAACATTTTTGAAAACATTTTGTGCATGAAACACATGAAAAACACATGAAAACATTTTAAAGAAACAAACATGTGAAACATGTTTCATGCTTCATGTTTCATGTGAAACAAACACAAGAAAACATTTTACCGTGCCGGAGTTCATAAAAAATTCCCAAATGTCGACCACGGCGCTCACGACCTGCAGCCAATAACCCACACATTGCACGACCCCTCCATCTCAGTGGACATCTGGCGATCCTGAACTGTCCTTCGGACTCGCCAGGACGTGTGAGACCTGCTCGCCCTCTCCGGTGCCGCTCCTACACGGTCTGTGTGATGTTTGGTGATCTCGGGCTCAAGCGTCAAAATAGCACAGAGTGTACACCTACGGCTCGCAGACCGGCTCAGTGGTCGTCAGTGTGTTTTGTGGTTTATCTTCCCCCGATCTCCCGAGAATGTCAGCGATGATCAGGAGTGGATGGCCGACACGGGGCTCTTATACAGGGCCGGCTCCTGTATCATGCCAGGTCTTTACCGAGACTCTAAGCATCCAAGGTCATAGAAAGGCGCAATGGCATCGGTGAACCCTGTCCCGTCTATTCATACAACATATTCTGTAGATGGCTGTTCAGTCTGGCAGGAAGGATATTCAGTCACGCATGTGGTTGTTGATCACTCGCAATTATCTTCAGAGATTCACACCTCCCATGTCAGGTCATTTCCATCAGTCTGCCTACAATTGGGGAATCAGGGCTAGAAAACGCTCAGTCACATGAAAACGACTGAACACCGCACTCGTAGACAGATTCAAGTCACCTATCGTTGAGCAGTTTACATCACGAACCCGATGCGTGAAGAATCCGCTGGGCCGCCGACGCCCGGGAGTGCTGCGGGGCAGTCTAACCGGCCGGGCGGCTGCGGACCCGGGCGGGGATGGGTGTGAAGGGACCAGCAGAACCGGTAACCAACACCGTGCAGGACGGCACTACCAAGAACAGGCATGGACTCATGTAGGAAGTTGGGAGGGGGGAAGAGAAAGAGAGAGAGAGAGAGAGGGGGGGAGAGGGAGAGAGAGGGAGAGGGAGAGGAGAGAGAGAGAGAGAGAGAGAGAGAGAGAGAGAGAGAGAGGAGAGAGAGAGAGAGAGAGAGAGAGAGAGAGAGGGAAGAGAGAGAGAGAGAGGGAGAGAGAGAGGAAAAGGAACGAGATAAGAGTTAGAGAGATGGAATGGGAACGAAAAAAGAAATATTCACACGGACATCCAGACAGATGGGCAGGCAGACAAACGACAGACAAACCCACGCGTACAGCCTACTCACCAGCACTCCCGACAGGTGCGGCTTCAGCCCGGCCATGCTCAGGCCGGACGAAGCCCTTTCACGCTGAGGCCGATCGAATGCGATAATCGCTGACCCATTCATTGCGCGACTCGCCTGGGCAACACACGGCCGTTGCTAGGTACGCGAGCTCATAACATCGGCAGGACGGCGGCGCCGGCCGGCCCCGGCATCACACGGCGGCCGCACGATGCCGGCCGCGCAGTAGGAAACAGTCAAGGCGAGGCGTTCGCAGCAGAAGACAGTCAGGGTGAGTCGTTCGCACCAGAAGACAGGCAGAGCGAGCCGTGCGCAGCAGAAGACAAGCAGAGCGAGCCGTACGCAGCAGAAGACAGGCAGAGCGAGGCGTTCGCGGCAGAAGACAGTCAAGGCGAGCCGTACGCAGCAGAAGACAGTCAGGGTGAGTCGTACGCAGCAGAAGACAGCCAGGGCGAGCCGTTCGCAACAGAAGACAGGCAGAGCGAGGCGTTCGCGGCGGAAGACAGTCAAGGCGAGCCGTACGCAGCAGAAGACAGTCAGGGTGAGTCGTACGCAGCAGAAGATAGCCAGGGCGAGCCGTTCGCAACAGAAGACAGGCAGAGAGAGCCGTACGCAGCAGAAGACTGGCAGAGCAAGCCGTACGCAGCAGAAGACAGGCAGAGCGAGCCGTACGCAGCAGAAGACAGGCAGAGCGAGCCGTACGCAGCAGAAGATAGCCAGGGCGAGCCGTACACAGCAGAAGACAGGCAGAGCGAGCCGTACACAGCAGAAGACAGGCAGAGCGAGCCGTACGCAGCAGAAGACAGGCAGGGTGAGCCGTACGCAGTGACCCACTGTCCTCCCCGCGGAAGACCCACACGTGAGTGTCCGACTGGTGTCCGGTTCCAGTGCGGTGCGGATTTCGGGCTTGGTCGCTGTCCCGTGCGTCGCCTATGTCTGGCTTGAACTGCACGAAATGTCGGTGGGACGTTAAAAGACTCGCGGAGATTACAAACTCCCCAACCTATCTCCACTCTGAAACGGTTTTAAATCTCCGGGTATATCGGGTTTCATCTTAAGGTTGGAGGCTTGAAAAATACATGTAGCAATTTGGCGCTTCTAAGCGAGATGTTTCAATGCGTTCCACACGTGATATGACAAACTGCGCAATTGTTCCACGCTTCCTCCCCAGATTATGAAAAATGTGAAGCCGAAAGATATTGCGCCCCAGTGGTCATTTCGAGCAAATGAAAGGCCAATGACCCCATTCGGTCTGGAGATTTCGGGCATAGTACACAGAATCCTGCATCACAACTCGCCCAAACTTCAACCTATGATATTTTGGTTCAAGTTGTAACTAAAGACGGATTCAGTCTCAACCTAGGACATGCTTCAGCATTTTGTGAGATATTGCACAGTGTCGTAAAGGCATGCAGCTTAAGCTTGCATAATGCACACGATAGTCTAATCGGCATTTGCCTCTTTGGATTAAAGTCAGTCGCATAGGCCATTCATAACGGTTGATGCATCTGAAGTCAAACGTGCGATATTAATTAGGTAAAGATAAATCTGGTCTTTTTCATTAGCGAAAGCCAGATTTGAGCACCAGTAACGTAGAATTCAGCGACGATCAAGTAATCCGCCTTAACACGCGCCCTGGTGGCCGGCTAGATACCCTTTGCTCGGGTGGGGGGGGGGTCAGTTTTACCCCCCTGAGATCTCTGAGATCTCGGAAACTAAGAAGGCTTGAGACACCAAATTTGCAAGGTGTATTGACCCGCACGTGAACTCACTTAGGTCAAAGTTTCAGGTTCCTAGGTCATGACCTTTGGGTTAAAAAGGTCCACCAAGGTCAAGTTGCAGGTTGGTCTCCAAAGTGCCCTCAGAATCTAGATAACCGTTTCTAAGCAAAAGGTGAAATGCACATTCAACGTCTGTGACCTTTTTTGACCTTTTTAAAGCCAAGGCGACCAAAATCATACAAGACTGTTTTGAATTTTACATTTGACTAGGCGACAAAGATTACGCTAGGCAGTATGTTCATAAAACAAAATGTTGACTTGGGTTATTTTAGGTCAATGACCTCTTCTGACCTATAAGAAGTCCATGGAGGATGTATAATGCGGTTCCTGCTACCAATAAATTCGAAATGAGCACCAGAAACTGTCCCATACAGCATGTCCCAGGGTAACAAAACAGGTTGGTTTTGACCTTGGTGTGACCTTTATACCTGACCTTAGGTTACTGCAATTTGCTCATTCAACTGTTTTATTACCTAGGAAAGCATCTCAGAAATGTATGGAATTGTCTAACACTCTGTTGTTGGATCAGATTGGACGATTCCCTAGAAATTGTCTTCGCTGAAACCATGGCCTGACTTTGACCTCCCATAGGTCAGCAACCTTAGAAGGTGCATCTAAATGTCAAACGATCCGCTATTCAATTGCCTATAGCTGTGCAAAATTTGGCGCGGCTACGCCGCGCCGTTCGGAAACCATTCTGGAAAAACCTTCGGGGGGGGGGCAATTTGACCCCCACCCGAGTGCGTGTTAAACGTCACCAGTTGTCAGAAGGTGATTCGCATGAGATCGAGCTCAGTCACTGGCCCTCCCAGGATAGAATCAGCGGGGCCAATCGAAGTATTATTTGTTTGGTTTTCAATTACGTGAGCTGTTAAGTGCATTTGCGAGGAACATTATTCACATAGGTAAGACAGTGGTAATAGCCTTATTCCTAGCAGAAAAAAGCTGAGGAAAATGAACATTTGAATGCGTTGATACTTCGCGCAACATGCCTTTATCGAAACGAATAGAAGGAATGCACTTTCACGACTAGCACTTATGATATTCGCTTCGATAAAGGCACGTTGCCGAAATATCGACTCATTTATATTTCGTAGTCCTGGTTTTTCTCGGAGGAATAAAGTTAGTACTAGTGTCATATCTATGTTTGGTTTTCAGTGCACCTGTTTGATGCAGATCTCCAATCAATCGAAGGAATTAAAGCGCGGCCTTTCCCAAAGTCAGGATGAGAATTACAGCTGGTGCTGTTATCAGGAACACCGTTGCCAGCATCCACGAACACAACATCGGAGTTGTATAATGGTCCAAAAGAACATCGGATTTACAAATGTTGTCACAGTGCCTGTTCATGTTTAGGAAAACGCCTATTGTTACATTTATTACAAGTGTTCAGCCCGTGCAAAAACCCTGCTTCTGACAGCCGCACGAATGAGATATGCCAGCTGTGACATCTGGGACAACGTGGAGGGCTTGAGCATCCTGGCAAGATCAGTTCAAGCGTATGCTCGTATGATTAATGACATTTATATGTATGGTCATTGGTGCGACAGTAACCCGGGATGCACTGGTACGTTTTACGTCAAGTATCCGTGCATTTAAGCGGTAACATTTGTCCAGAGTTCTACAATTTGACTACAGTTTTCATTTTAGCCCCGAAGATGCGCTCTATGAAACCTATGGCAAGTGTTTGTAAATGGGTACTTCCAACCACATCCGAGGTGTGATAGATGGCAATGTACTCCCTTTATTTATAATACAAGGGAGTACAGTGTCCCATATAGAACTGTCCCACTGTCCCATGTACACAAAATCCTATCATACGAGAACTGTATATCATCTGTTTCGCTCCTTGGCGCCTCTGTTGTGACTAAATCCTACAAACCTTAGATATTCTGTCGAACCTGAAAACCCAACTATGCTCTACCTACCTGTGATATCTTGCTCAAACGCCACTGATTTGATGTGTTTAACTGCCGTGTGGACATTAACCCTGGTCGTAAGCTCGACAATACGTGATGTGTGTTCTACCAGCTTGTGTCTTTCTGTTTCAAATACCAAATCAGAGGATTAGCGGATTGGGGTCGGCGAACTTGGAAAATTTAGCATTAATATTAAACCCAATATTTTTCCTCACTGTTTCTGTCTTAAATCGCTGTGTATCACCCTGTGGCAGCATTGCAAAAATGAAAGCAAGCTTATAAGCCAGCCTGACCCGCCATCTTTCCAAACGTTCTGATATTGCTGCGAATCCACGCAATAGCATTCTTAACTTTCTTAACATTTCAACAGAAATATCAAATTAATGTATGAGACATCGCAGGCACCCCACTAGCAGGTCCCCAAATGGCCCTCCTCCGCCACGGCCGGCCCGTTCGCGGCCGTTCCTGCAGCCGACCTCCTCGTTGCGCCGCAGGCGACAGCGCCACCGCCGGGGTCACAGGCTCACGACCCGGACCCGGGCCCGCCGAGCCGGCGGAGTTGGCCGGGCCCGCTCCTCGGTCGCCCCGTCAACAGCCCGTCCGGTCGATGTGGGCCCTAACAACGGCCGCAGCCGTCGAGGGCGACGACGCCGCCCGTCGTCGCAGCCTGCCCGTTTGCAGGACGGAAGTGCTGTCGGTTTTAATGGCTGGCTGCGACCCCCTCATCGACTACGTCACGTTTTGGGGTGGGGTGCGGGTGGGGGGAGCCGTCCCTCACCCTCGCCTGGAGTCGCCCGTGCGCCGCGCCGCCTCCCCGCGGCCGACGCTGACTCCGCCCCTGCGCGGCGGGTAACCAGGACCACGATGTCGGCAGCGGCCACCATGTACGGCATGCTCCAGTACTACCGGAACAAGAGGAGTGAGGGCAACACCACCCAGGTGGAGGGCGCCATCCTCACCCCCAACCACCAGGGCGGCCCGCTCAAACCGCCGCCGCTCAAGCGGGACATGACGCAGGTCAGTGGCACCCTCCCGGGCCGGTACTGCAACCGTACCGGATATCGTGCAACCCTGGATGTCGGCGGGCCCGCTCCAAACGGACGTACTCAGATAGCGGACTCCTCCAGACGGACGTCTTTAGTTATTGGGCTCCTCCAAACGGACGTCTTTAGTTATTGGGCTCCTCCAAACGGACGTCCTAAGCTAGCGGGCTCCCCCAGACGGATGTCTTCAGTTAGCGGACTCCTCCAGGCGGACGTCTTTAGTTATTGGGCTCCTCCAAACGGACGTCCTAAGCTAGCGGGCTCCCCCAGACGGATGTCTTCAGTTAGCGGACTCCTCCAGACGGACGTCTTTAGTTATTGGGCTCCTCCAAACGGACGTCCTAAGCTAGCGGGCTCCCCCAGACGGATGTCTTCAGTTAGCGGACTCCTCCAGACGGACGTCTTTAGTTATTGGGCTCCTCCAGACGGACGTCCTAAGCTAGCAGGCTCCCCCAGACGGATGTCTTCAGTTAGCGGACTCCTCCAGGCGGACGTCTTTGGTTCTTGGGCTCCTCCAAACGGACGTCCTAAGCTAGCGGGCTCCCCCAGACGGATGTCTTCAGTTAGCGGACTCCTCCAGGCGGACGTCTTTGGTTCTTGGGCTCCTTCAGACGGACGTCCTAAGCTAGCGGGCTCCCCCAGACGGATGTCTTCAGTTAGCGGACTCCTCCAGGCGGACGTCTTTGGTTCTTGGGCTCCTCCAAACGGACGTCCTAAGCTAGCGGGCTCCCCCAGACGGATGTCTTCAGTTAGCGGACTCCTCCAGGCGGACGTCTTTGGTTCTTGGGCTCCTTCAGACGGACGTCCTAAGCTAGCGGGCTCCCCCAGACGGATGTCTTCAGTTAGCGGACTCCTCCAGACAGACGTCTTTAGTTCTTGGGCTCCTCCAGACGGACGTCCTAAGCTAGCGGGCTCCCCCAGACGGATGTCTTCAGTTAGCGGACTCCTCCAGGCGGACGTCTTTGGTTCTTGGGCTCCTTCAGACGGACGTCCTAAGCTAGCGGTCTCCCCAAGACGGATGTCTTCAGTTAGCGGACTCCTCCAGGCAGACGCTCACCCCTCAGAAACCCCTTCTCTCAGACGGAGACCTTTGCCAGTGCCCCGGCAGACTAACCCTCTAAGTCAGTGGACTCTTCCCAGACAGTCAGTGGCATCCCCACAGGCAATCTCCACATCACAGGACCCCTCCCTCTGGACCCCTCAGTCGTCTGACCTTCCCATGTCGGCGTGCCCGGCCGGACCGACGCGTCCCGACCCCCCGACGCCTCCAGTGACCCGCGCCGGCGCGCCGCTCGTCCGCAGGTCAACTGGCGCGAGATGGCGCTGCGGCGCCGCAAGGTGGCCGACTGCCAGATCATCGGCTGCGTCGTCACCTCGGGTCTGCTCATTCTGGCCGCGGGACTCGGCATGTTCCTGGCCGCCTGGTTCGTCCTCGGCAGTAAGTACACGCTTCGCTCGGTGACCTGTCTGACCCGCGTGGAGGTCGGGCAGTACTCGCTCGCTCGCACGTACTCGCTCGCAGCTCGCAGGTACTCGCTCGCAGCTCGCAGGTACTCGCTCGCAGCTCGCAGGTGCTCGCTCTCTCGCAGGTACTCGCTCGCAGCTCGCAGGTACTCGCAGGTCTCGGGGTCGACAGTTCGAAGCAGGCCGCTGGGGGCTAGTTCAGTTCTGTTCAGTTCTGTTCGCCGCGACAGCCAGTTCTGTTCGCCGCGACGGTCAGGGTCTGCCCGCCAAGGTCTGGGTCAGTCAGGCTCTCAGTCGGTCTGCGGAGGCCCGAGTCAGGCTCTCAGTTGGTCTGCAGAGGCCCGAGTCAGGATCTCAGTCGGTCTGCGGAGGCCCGAGTCAGGGTCTCAGTCGGGCTGCGGAGGCCCGAGTCAGGGTCTCAGTTGGTCCGCGGAGGCCCGAGTCAGGGTCTCAGTCGGTCTGCGGAGGCCCGAGTCAGGCTCTCAGTCGGTCTGCGGAGGCCCGAGTCAGTGTCGTAGTTGGTGGGCGGGCCGAGTCAGTTCCGCATCGTCTAAATGACCCACCAGGGGGGCCTACTCGCACAGCAGTGACGCTTCCCACGGCGACGATCGACCCAGTGTTTGGGGCTTCGAATTCCTGGACAGGCCACATGGCCCAGGTAATGATGTCCGTGCTGGCCGTTATCCAGCAGTGGGCTCGTAACGGCCTGGAATATGACGTCACAGAGGACTCAATATTGACTGGCTCACCAGCGTCCTGGTACAAAGCCTAAGTCGGCCGTGACGACCATTCGTAAATGTGACGGTCCGACTGGAAAGAAACGGATCCACCGAGCGACGAAATAACTTTATACAACCATTGTGTGGCAAGCGTGAACGAACAAGTCAAATTTCGATACCGCGGGACCATACACCCGCGCCGAGTCAATATCACCAGCGCCAAAGAGACGTGCGGCAGCGCGCTGTCTGGACCTCACCCATAACGAAGTCCTGGCCCGCATCAAACGCCTCAACAGCTGCCGTCGGCGTCCGCCAAACCTTGCCACCATCCCGCGGCCGGGCTGGAGCTGCCGCCAGTCCCCGGAAACCCTTCACCTCCGTCGGTCGGCGTCGGCAGCCGACGTGACCGTATTTGCCGCGTCATCGACGGCTGTCCGCGCGCGACGTGACCGCCCGGCGCGCCCGTCCGCAGAGGAGGACCCGTTCATCCTCATCGGGCCCGTGTTCGCCGGCTGCGGTATCGTCGTGCTCCTGCTCAGCGTCGAGGTGTGCGTGCGGCGGCAGAAGGTCATCAAACTCACCGAGGACCTCAGCTCAGGTCAGTAGCGCCGGCTCAGGTCACTGGGCTCGGGGCGCTGGGGTCAGGTCGCTGGGGTCAGGTCGCTGCGGTCAGGTCGCTGGGGTCAGGTCGCTGGGCTCAGGTCGGCGCAAAGCCAGCGGGGTTTTGTCGCCTCAGGGCGCGTTATAGCGAACGCAGGTTTATGCAAACTGCTAACGTAACGAGGAGTTCGATTCGCGTCAGCGTCATGGTGATCTCGGAACGGGCTGGCAGTCACAAAAACATTGATTTGAGAAGCTTTGGCCACTTGGGGATCATGTTTGTCATGAAAAATACAAACGGCCTGGGTCTGTTGGGCATTTAGGGGTCCCCGACCGACCTGGGGGGATCACTTTGTCCATGGAGCCCTGGTACAGTTGATCGGTTACACGAATTGTTGCTTTTTCAAGAAACAAAAAACAGCGTGATGTTAGCTACATATCTACTTAACTCATCCCTAACCACGTCCTGTTTTCCTTGGCTTCAGAAATCCATACAGATATTCTCTTTGGAAGTGCTGCTGCTATTGGTTTTACTTGTTCCAAAACGCGCGTTGTCATACCACACCCACCCTGTCGAGGGTTACACCGAGCCTTCAGTTATTTCATAGGAGCCAGCTAAACTCTCATGGCAGCCTGGCATTCAGCTTATTTGTGTCGGTTTTTACTGTCAGCACCCCTGGCGTCGTCCCAGCCCTGAACCGCGCCGGCGACCCACATTTCGACAGGTGACACGCTGATGACCCCCTCCTGCACTACCCTGACCTCGCCTGATCCCACCTGACCCCAAGCTGTTCCTGCCTGACCGCAGCCTGATCCCACCTGACCCCGTCCGACCCCATTTTCACCTCTACTGATCCCACCTGACCACAGCCTGACTGCCTGACCCCAGCCTGACCCCGCCTGACCCCGCCTGACCCAGTCTGATCCTGCCTGACCCCGTCCGGCTCCATCCTGACCCTAACTGACCCCGCCTGAGCCCAGCCTGACCCCCGACCCCGCTCCAGACGAGGAGGACGGACACTACATCGACGAGGGGCTCATCAACTACGGCTTCGGCCACTTCCACGGCGACGACCCGGGAACGCCCATCAGCAGCAAGTCCCCCGCCCACAGCAAGTCCCCCGCCTACCGTTCGCCCATCGTGGTTCGCTCTCAGGCACAAGGCGGCGAAGACGACGAATCGTACAAGCCATCGTTTGACGTACGTGTGCCGCGCTGGGATGACCGCCGGCACGTTTCGACCAGCAAGTGGCAGAGCACAAAAGATTTCCGGTGGCAGAGATGTTTGATACGCTTTTTTTAAAAAAAACATTTAGGCGCTGGTCCTCGTTGTGCTGTACTGTACTGTATGTGCTGTACTCTAGCGGTGCAGTACATTTGCTGCCAGCTGGTTGTGCGTCAGAGCTCCGCGCTTTATAGCATGTTTTACCGCGGAGAGGCGGGGTTGACAGACCCAGCGCCTAGCTCGTCACCAGTCGCCGTCGCGTGACCACATCCGCACCACACGTCCGCGCCTCGACGTCCCACCGGGCTCGCTGCGGCGTCGGCCGCGTCGAAGGGCTCCTTGAGTCAGTGCGCGCCCCCTGTTCCAGGTAGAAGGTCGCCTCCGACCCGAGGACCGGCCCCAGGTGAACGTGCTGGCGCCCACGCCGGACGTGCTCGACACCTCGATGACGCAGGAGGCCATTGAGATGCTGCTCTCGCCGGCCAGCGGCCGCGGATAGCTAGCCGTGCCCAGCGAGGAGGCGCTGTGGCGGGCACCGCCGCCGGCCGCGCGCCGGCGCCTCCGCGTGCGTCTCCCCGCTGGCGACGGCGACGATGACAGTCTGGGTGGCGAGAGCAGCATCCGCGACCCGGCCGAGCGCGCGCGCGTGTTCCACGAGATCATGCAGGTGACGGCGCCGGCGGGGGAGGCCGCGCCGCCGCTGGCTGGAGAGGCCGCGCCACCGCCGGCGGGAGGCGAGGCCGCGGCGGTGGCGCAGGAGAGCCCTGACGGCCGGCTCCGCCTGGCGCCGCTCCAGAACCCGGCGTCGACGCTCAGTAAACCGGTGGATGGCCTCCGCCAAGAAACGGAGCTGACCCCGCTGGCCGCCTGGCGGCCGAGGACAGAACTAAGCCGAGGGGTTGTCGAGCGGCCGGACTGAACAGGCTGAACTTGATAGCCGTCCAACCGAGTCGGTGGACCATCTGGCGGCGGGAATTTGAAGTGATGTGATGGGTCGCACTGGTGACGATGGAAGAGCTGGCCCGACCTGCTCGTCGTTGGCCAAGGAGGCGGCGAGGGGCGCATTTGGTGACCTCGGTCAGAAGGCCGCCAGGAGGCGAACGGGGTCGTCGGCTCCGTCGGTGCCGTCAGGACCGCGCCGGTCGGAGCTCTCGTAGTGGGCCGGCCAGGCGGCGACTCGTAGCGTGACCAGACCCTCGTGGTCTCCTCCGGGCCGGCCGCGATCTGGTGACGTCACTGGGATTTTGGTGTGGTGCTGTCGTGAAGAACACACACGCGCTTCCCTCGGAGGAGCGGAAGGTGCTGTGAATACTGGTGTGGAGTAGCAGTGGAGGCGATAGACGTTCGCTCACTGGCAGGTGGCTGACTATACTGTGATATAAACCGCATTCGTCTATTTACCGTCACATCACAATCTCATCTCGATGAATCGGGTGGGTTCTTGTTATCTAGTTATCACAACAGCACATTGTACAGATCTTTCAGTTCTTCTCGCGTGACCTTGTGAGCGTAACAGCGACCGCCTACGGGACGCCAGGTTTACGCGACACTGTACCGAAGATACGCGTTACATACAAATACGCGATACTGTACGCCCCCCCCCCCCCCCCCCCAGTGCGGAAGGGGCATGAGCTGGCGGCTGTGTAGCGCCGGCGTGCTGTGCCCTGCTGTGTAGCGCCGGCCCGGGTCTCAGAGGCCCCCAGGGGTGAGCGTTCGACAGCGTCAACAGTTCCGGCGCGCTTAGCTGGAATTGCCCCCTGTCTCCCATCGCTTCGTAGCGAGAGCGCGCGCCTCCCAGAGCGTGTGCACCACCGCACGGGAAGACGCCCACTCCGCTCTGACGCCTGCTGTCGGGAAGTTGCACGCGTTCCGTGTCCCCCGCTACCATGCCGCCACGCCCGCCTGTCCATGCAGCACGAGGCAGTCCGCGAGGCAGTTTGTGAGGCAGTCCGCGAAGCAGTCCGCTGTTATAACGTCCGCTCTCCTGATCAGGCTTGGTGGTGAAGTCCGCTGCTGGCCTCGCCTCCGTCGCTCGACCGCGCGCTCGTGATGTGTCTGGCTCAGCTACCGGCAATCCCGCCACCTGTGCCTAGATGTGATCGATCGACGTAGCTCCGACCAACTGCGACGCCCCGCCCAGCGTCCCGTCCCCGTCGGTCGAATAAAGCTCCGGGCGTGCCTCCGGATCCTGTGTCATTTGGTTCCGCGGGGCGGCTCGACCGCGGGGCCGCGTGGGCGTCCGGCAGCCGCCAGCGACCGACCGCCACCTCTCCACGCACACACTGGGGTCGGGTTGGAGCCGCAGAGCTGGCCCGGTCCGTCGCGTGCGCGGCCGGGGAGCAGAAAGGCGCCGGCTCCGAACGGTCAAGATTCAGGGAAGTGTTTCAGAGCGGGAAGCAGAGCGGCATCGCCTCCGAGCAGTACAGATTCAGACACATACTTCAGGGCGGGAAGAAGAACGGCATTAGCGCCCGAGTGGTACAGATTCAGACAAGTGTTTCAGGGTCGGGGAGCAGAACGGCTTCAGCTCTGAGCGGTGCTGATTCAGACAAGTGTTTCAGGGTCGGGGAGCAGAGCGGCGTCAGCTCCAAGCGGTGCAGATTCTGACAAATGTTTCAGGGTCGGGAGCAGAGCGCCAGCTCCGAGCGGTGCAGATTCAGACAAATGTTTTAGAGCGGAGTGAGGCTTCAGTTTCATACCAGACCCAAGCGGTCCATGTTGTGCGTGCATTATATCGCAGATTTCGGACATCGACTCTGAGTTACTTTGACGGCGGCCGCTGGCGTCACCAACGTTACCACATGGCAGGTGCATGACCTCTTAAATTAATGACGGTAGCAATTAAAGAATGTGACGTACCGTAACAGCATACGTAATCTATACCTACACATTTGGTGACGCGTCGTCTCATCACAAGTCTCTACTCTACCCTGCTATCTTTCCACAACTCGGCTACTTGAGACTACCAGCGACTACTCTACTTACGACTGATCGGCCATCTTTCCATAAACGAGTCCATTAAGGCGATACCGTTTTGGATGGCGTGCCTTACTTTACACTTCAGACCATATTCGCGTACGTACCACGCGCCTAGAGCAACAAAATCACGGCGCTGTTGTTGACGCTATCATCATATTGTAAGTCGGCTTCAGGCAGCCATGCTCTAACTTTAAGCGGATATTTCCTGGCGTTTATTTTACACCGACCGGTCGTGGAACCGGCCAGTGTTGCACGGTTGTCAATTATTACTTATGCAAATATCTTTTCTTCTTCCGTCATGATCTCTCCAAGCCGTAGGAGCGCTGCACCAGCCTAGACTAGAGCTAGACCAAGACAATGTATTATCCTCCAGAAATCAGCCCTGAACACAGCTGTGACACGAACTGTCCGTCCCCTCTCAAACGCTTAAAAACGACCACCGCGCGACGCTTCCGCGCTAAAACATGCCCACCGCATGGGGACGACTGCCGGTCGCGCCCGGCCTTTGGACGCAAGTCACCACGTTCATACCCGCCGCGGCCACTTCAGTCAAGGCGCCGCCACGCACCGCCGCCGGCCGCCTGACCGGCGGACCCAGCACCGCCTGTCGCCGCACGGCCGGCCGCCTAGGGCGGCGCGTCTCCCGGCGATTCGGCGGGTGGCGCCCCCGCAGCGGCGTCCTCCGCTGGCGCCGGGTCGCTGTCTGCGGCTACAGGTGGTGCCACTGAGCCGCCAGCAGCCGCCAGTGGCTCTGGCGCCGCGCTATCCGCCGCAGCTGGGAGCTCTGGCGTCGCGCTCTCCGCCGCAACCATCGGCTCTGGCGCGGCGCTCTCCGCCGCAACCATCGGCTCTGGCGCCACGCTCTCCGCCGCAACCATCGGCTCTGGCGCAGCGCTCTCCGCCGCAGCCGGCGGAGAGCCACTCTCGCCACTCTCGGCGGCCGGCGCTGCCGACCCGCCCGCGCCGCCGCCGACTCCTGCCGCCTCCGCGCACGCCCGCGCCTCCGCCGCGCCGTCCGCCGGCCGCGCCAGCTCCACCAGGTTGTATTTGCGCAGCGCGAAGTAGTCGGGCAGCACGGCCAGACAGAGCACGTTACGGATGGCCTCCATGACGACGGTGAGCTGCGGCGTCTTGTGGTCGAGGCGCGCCGTCGGGCACACGGCCTCGATCAGGCCGTTCACCGCCGTCTGCGCCTCGGTCTGCGTCAGCTGCGACTGGTTCCGCGACCTGCCGGCAGGGGCGCTGCTGTCGCGGCGGCCGCCAACGCATCGTACGGGACTTTGCTGGTGTGGAGATGTGAGGGGGGGCGTATTCGAGAAGTGCGCCGATTATATGACCCCCTCCCCACAACCTATGTTGTTACGTGCATAAGAATGCTTGCGAATACATCTTAAACACACTTTAACTTAAACTTAACTTAAACGACACTTAAACAATAGAGGTAGACGCGCAAACCGTGTATATTGAACACAACATGCCATCAAACCAGACGACTTGCAGAAAGCACATCGCCAGGAGGAGGGGAGAGGGGAGGAGGAGGGGAGGGGGCTGCGGAGACCGGGCCGTGCCGAGAGCCTAGTCGGCGGCCGCTCCGCCACTGACCTGAACACGGTCGTGTATGTGGTGCCCAGCTCTGTGAATGCCTCCTTGATCATCTGCTCGGCCGTGGCACGAATATCCTCCTCCGTGGCCTGGCCGACAAACAGCACCGTGAACAGCACATCAGACGCGCGCAAACAGCACATCAGGCGCGCGCAAACAGCACCTCCGTCCCAAACAGCAAGTCAAGCGCGTGCAAATAGTACCTCCGCACAAACAGCACGTCAGGCGGGCTGTTACAGCACCTCCGTCCAAACAGCACGTCAGGCGCGCGCAGAAAAGCACCTCCGAGCAAAACAGCGCGCCAGGTGCGGCGGGCCAACCGACGGACGGCGCCGACAGCCATCGCAGATCACAAGATCAGGGTCTCCCTGCGCTCCGTGCCCGACTGTCACCAGCAAGCAGCACGCAGAAAGCCAACGGTCATCACGGATCGAATGGTCACTGAAATGCGGGGACATGATCGCCTGGTGTCTGTCTCGCGAGAAGCATGCGAAACGCCAGGTGCACTGCTTTCATTTCCCAGAACGCTGCCGCTGAAGAATGGACGTTTCCCTGTAGATCGCCGGCCGTGAGCACAGCAGTGCTTCATAACCAAGTCATCCGTCAGCGCCGGAACATTCAGATGCACCGCTCTCCACGTCAACTCCATGGAGCCGCACGCCGCAGTCGCCGCTTCACCACTCACACCCCGACCTCAAACTGGACGCTTGAAACATTACACGATGTGAAATGATGATGAAAAACATTACATGATGATGAAACATTACACGGATCCACAACTGGTGATGTCTACCGCTGACGGCTGACATCGCTGACATCGTTTTAATGTGACATCGCTGACGGCTGACATCGCGGTCGCGGTGACATCGTTTTAACACCGCGAGAATCCAAAACGCCGCGCCCGCAGCGGAAGTCGCAGTACCGACCGCGGGTTAACGGGCTCAGCGGGTCGACGCACCGTGCTGACCGCAAACTCCGACAGCACGGAGCGGAGCCGCGCGTACCGACCGACCCCCCCCCCCCCCTCCCGCGACAAGTGGATCCTTCATGTGACCAAACCCCCCTGTGCCCCCCCCCGAAATGACATCGTTTTAACACCGCGAGAATCCAAAACGCCGCGCCCGCAGCGGAAGTCGCAGTACGACCGCGGGTTAACGGGCTCAGCGGGTCGACGCACCGTGCTGACCGCAAACTCCGACAGCACGGAGCGGAGCCGCGCGTACCGACCGCCCCCCCCCCTCGCGCGACAAGTGGATCCTTCATGTGACCAAAGCCCCCTGTGCCCCCCCCCCCCTCCGAAAGCCGGCCAGCAAGGTGCGGCGTGAGACGCGAAAAGTCTTCCTCGCCGACTACCTAGCCGGCCGCGAGGCAAACGCCGGTAATACTGGCGCCTGGTGTTGAGTAGACATAAGACCAGACAGCGGCCCGTGGTTGCTCCCCATATGGAGCTGCGGAGGACGTGCTGTGTTGTGTAGGGGTTGGCAGCAGCTGCCTCCTGGTCAGTGAGTTGTCAGAGGTCGCCGCGAGCCGCCAACGGCACCGCGGCACTTTGTACGCTCGTCTCAGTAAAACAATGGGTTACGTTCACTGCCGGCTTCTTCGCCACGCGCCCCGTGTGGTAGGATCGCCCGCGTGCCTTACAGTCACTGCACCTCCGCCAACCGACACCGTTCTGCGGACCGGACGGAGCCCGGCGTCCTCGACCGGAAGCCCACCGCCTCCCCGACAGCACCTCTGACCCCTGCCAGCCCGGCCCTCCAGCACGCAGGCCGCCCCGCCCCACCCCACCCAAGCCGCCGCTCAAGCCGGCCCGCCTCCCGGAGCCCGGCGCGCGCCTGACCTTGCACGTGACCTGGACGGGCAGCAGGCGCAGGAGGGTAGCGGGTGCGCTGCACGCCCGTGCGGCGGATGTCGCGGGCGATGCGCTCCACCAGCGGCGCCGTCTGCTCCAGCTGCACGGCACGGCGCCAGGGCTAGGTCTCGGTGCATGGGGGAGGCCATGGGTGCGGGTGAGGTCATGGGGTTTTGGGTGAGGTCATGGAGTGTGGCAAGGTCATGGGATGAACATGAGGTCATAGGGGTGTGGGTGAGGTTGTGTGGTGTGGGTGATGTCACATCATGTGGGGTGAGGTCTTGGGGTGTGGGTGAGGTCATGGGTGTTGGGCGAGGTCATGGCATGTGGGTGAGGTCTTGGGGTGTGGGTAAGGTCATGGGGTGTGCATGAGGTCATGGCAATGGGGTGAGGTCATGGGGTGTGGGTGGGGTCATGGCATGAGTGTGAGGTCATGGGGTGAGGTGAGGTCATGGGGCAGGGGTAAGGTTGCAGTGTGGGAGCCAGGGACCAGGTCACAGTTAAGGTTACTGTGGAAAGGTCATGGCACCATGCATGGATCAGGTCACTGGGTATATGTCAGGTGGTTTGGGGTTTCAGGGGGTGACAGTGCCAAGGTATTTTGCTGGGTGGGGGGCCAGGGCAAGGTATACTGTCACAGTGCAGCAGCCAGGCCCAGGACCATGGCACCAGTTTCTGGACTGCTGAGAATTTTCAAAGGTCTACTGAGTAGGTGACCCAGACAACAGTGAAAATCAAAGTTTTATAAAATCAAGGATATTTTCACCAAATCCTAGCCTCTTTTGTTTTCCTAGTATTCTCCTGGCCTTTTGGTGATTTGGATCACACAATGAAGCACTAAGCTCATCATCAGTAGGCTAAGTAACTACAAAGTAATTTTAAATACCCAGCATGAGGTGATGAACTCTCAACTGGCTTGGTACACAATGTCACAGGTGCAGATGTTAACTAAGAGCAATGAGTATTGTAACTGCATCAATCAGAATGCACACAGGTAACTTAAGGCACTTGTCTTGCATAGTCAATTAGGATATTTCAATAATTAAAACCAGAACTAAGATTGTATGCAAAGTTTACAAGCTATAATGACCCTCCATGCATTCAAACAAGCTGCAACACTAACGCAATAATGCTTAAGTAATGCATTGATGAGGAGAAAAATGTTCCAGCAGCTCTACCTGAGTACTGATGAATATGCAGTTTTTGGCACCACTTTCAACCTGCTGGAATCTCCTTTCTTTGGGAGAGTACTTTTGCTCTTGAGTGCAGCCAGCTCAGCCTCAAGGTCAGCTTCCACCTCTCCACCAGCATCAGCTGACTCCTGACATCAGAAAAAATAAAGAACATGATCATGACAGCCGGTGTATCCTGTTCATGTCTCTGGGTGGCTTCTGTACCGGGCCAGATTGGACGACCAGCAATCAT